TCACACCCAACCTGGGCTTGTCTATTAAGGGCTCATTCAGGAAACCTTCCTTTTGATTGACTCAGATTCAGCTCACTAGATGCTGTAATTATGACTGCAATATCTCTGCTGTATAATGTAACATACAGGAGCCATTGCCCTTCTTATTTAGCACCTTGTTCACGAAAGGACATGCACACCAGGGAGCAGAGTCTTGGAGGATGACTTGGAATTCTTCCTGCCATAAAAACATCATTGAGCTCTTGCTGAAGCATGGAACAGTTAACTGACCCCTTCTTTAGGTTATGGTGTGGTATAAGATGTCTTTGCATGCTAGGCTATTGTTAATCCCAAATGAGAATAAGACCATTGCCACCATTTAAAGCCAAATTTGAACCAAACTTTAATTAAATACTGGCCAGGTGGATGGGCTCTGGCCAAGTCCATACCCAGGTTCCTGGGAAATGGCCCCAAATCATGGTTTGCAGTGATTTAAGAAGGGAAACTGAGAATTCATTTGTTGTATTTCCCATCAGGTCCAATCAGGAGCAAGCATGCATCCTCGAGTACCTCCAGCCTATGAACCTCTTGCCCACATGTGATCAAACACATCTGGTGCAGATGGCTTAAACAAACTTGTTTATGGTAATAAAAATATGTGGCTTGTTATCTCCCATAAACAGCCTCCAGCATTTCAGAAACTATTTGTCCTTGGGCAGGGGGCTTGCAGATCACGTTATTTCATGGATCTCTTAGGCATAGTAATTAAAACTTAAAAATGTAACTTTAGCCCTCATACTACCTCCTCAACCATCTACATTTTATTTAAAGAAGCTAAAACCCAGGAAAATGAAACCATTTGTGTAACTGGTGTTTGGTTTGGTCAGGATCTCTCTGCTGGTCTCCAGATTCTGTGTTGTTTTGGTTTTTTGAGACAGGGTTTCTCAGTGTAGCCTTGGTTGCCCTGTAACTCACTTTGTAGACTAAGCTAGCCTCAACTCAAAGCACTGCCACTGTGCTGGGGTTATTCCTGCTGCTATTCTCTGAATTTTGCATTTTATTATGACTCCCCCTACCCCCAGACAGCCCTGGCTGTCCTGGAAACTACTTTGTAGACCAGGCTGGCCTTGAACTCAGATTTTCACCTGCATCCAAAGGTGTGCATCACCACTGCCCTGCCAACAAATGTATGTCTTACCCGTTAGATTATGTGTCTCAATCCTGGCTATATTCCCAGCATCTAGCACATGTTGGATAGTCAGTAAATATTTATAAATGAGTGGGTCTCTTGACTATAGCCTGGGACTTGTCCAGAACTCTTCAGTATGCTGAGATCTGTGAAGTGTGAGCCACCCCTACCGTGGTATAAATACTTTTATTGCCACATATTTAAAAAGCTATCCATTTCTTGTGTGCTCACTCAAGATCAACCATGTAGTATATAACATAGCTGAGATTAGATGGTGGGCCTTTAAAAGCAAAGTTCGTGTTTGTTGTGTGTCATGCCCTTCCCCTAATCCCTCCCACACACACCCAGTTGATGTTTTTAACTTCCTGCGAGTAAGATCTGGGATTGAAGCTCATTCTACAATACCCAGTATAATTATTTGATAAATACCAGTTTGTTTGCTTTATGACAAATACAGTCCTCTACAATAGCGGAAACCCTTTCCTTTAGCATGTGAATTTAGATGTTGACAAAAATTATGATTAATTTTATGAAAGTACTTTATGTTAAGCTCTAAATGGCTTTGGGGCTGGGGGAAAGTAACAATATTGAACCATATATGAGACAACATTGTTATAATGTCTATTGCAAGGCCTGTAATATGGCCAAATGAGATGAAAGTTTTCATATACATATTCTTCTTAATATCTCAGTATTTATCAGTGAGATAGCTTCTGCTGGAGGTAAAGATTTAGAAATGTACAGGATTGTACAACTTATTTTTTTTCTTCTAGTGTATTTCAGGCCTGCAAATAGGTTAGCATGCAAATAGGTCAGCATAGACTCCTGACAAACACACCGTTTATAGTTCAGTAAGTGTTGGTAGCCAAGCAGTAAAGAAAACAGTCAGGCTTTCCCTGATCAAACAAGCAACTCTTTGAAGTGACACAAGGAACATGTTGTTACTTGGGTTTTAGTCACAAATCAGACTCTTAAGGCAAACAAGTTGCCAGTAGCTTTGAATTGTAGGTTTGTGTCCTTATACTAACTATAAGACCAGAAGGGCCTCTGAGGAGAGCTTCATATTTTGAAGCTTCTAGGTGAAAAAGTAGAGAGGGGTTTGTGTGTTTCCCCTGCTTTTTCATTTGTTCTTGAGGTTCTCTCAAGTTTCCATCAGTATTTTGTTGAGAAAAACCACGTTGGAAGCATCTGTCTGTTAAGTTGCCCTTACAGAGTGATGCTGTTCCGTTTTCTGTGAGGAAGCTTTGTTGTCTCTTTGGCCCACTGTAGCCACCTTGCACAGTAGTTCTTCTGGGGCTGAAACTGCCCACTCAGTCATGACCCTCAGCAAATCTGTTTCTCTGTTTGCTTTTTTAATCCACAAATGGGATGTTTGGATAGATATTTAATCTGCTGTCTTTTTTCAGGGACACTCAACATCATTCCCTCAGTAGGGAGTTGTAAAATGTGATAAAGAATCTTTACTGAACTGTCTTGAATACAGATTTTGTTTCTGAAAACCCCTATGTTGTGTCAGGCACTGTCAAAATCCAGTGCATTAATGGTACCACACCACATGGTGAAGTGAAAAATCCAGAGCCCTGAGCCCCTCCTGCCACTGCCTAACAAGAACTGTCTGCAGGATCTGCCTCCTACTCCCCTCCCTCCCTTTTTTAGAAAAGGTGTCTGCATGTAGCCCTGGCTGTCCTGGAATTTGCTATGTATACCAGAGATCTCTTGTCTCTGTCTCCCCAGTGCTGGGATCAAAGGTGGGCACCACCATGTCCAACTTGTCAGCAGGTTTAACTATCTCACCTTTCACAATTGGAGTCTGAATAAAATATGACTACAAAGGTTAGGAAACTGGCTACAAAATGAGACGTCCAACCCAGAGAAAGAAAAAGAAGCATTGATTTAGTGCATGCATTTCTGGCTCCACAGTTGAGCTGACTCAACTAGGGAAATCCTAGTCAGGCAGTGCTCCTACATGGCTTTAATCCCAGGACTTGGGAGGCAGAGGTAGAGACCAGCCTGGTGTATAGAAACCCTGTCTTGAAAACCCTAAGAAAAAGGAAAGGAAAGGAAATCCTATGATTCTAAGTCTCAAGGGTGAGAAAATGAGTCTCCTCAAGAGAGGGTACCCCAGCCTGCAATCCACTACCCCAGAGAGCTAGAGCCCTCTTCCAGAAACAGATGGAAGCAGATGCAGGAATCCACAACTAACCAATGGGCCAAGCTCCTGGAGTACAATCAAAGGGAGGGATGCTCAATAATATAAACAAAGGAGTCAAGACCATGATGGGGAAACCCACAGAATCAGCTGACTCGAGCTAGTGAGAGATCACTGACTCAGATCTGACAAATGGGGAACCTGCATAAGACCAAACTAGACTCCTTTAATATAGGTGACAGTGTTGATAGAGCTGTGACTGGGACAATAAATGAGGCCACTGGCAGTGGGTTCAAGATCTAACACTAATGCACAGACTGACTTAGTGAAGCCCATTCTATAAGGAGAGAGATACTTTGCCCAGCCTAGACACAGGGGTGTGGGGAGTGGAGAGGCGCCTTGATCCTGCCTCAACAAGATGACGGGACAGACTTAGTAGACTTCCTAGGGGAGGCCTTACTCTCCCCAAGGAGCAGATGGGAGGTGGGGTGAGTGGGAGGAGAGGAGGGAGAGGGAACTGGGATTGGAGTGTAAAAAAATAAATTAATTTAAAAGACTAGAGCCAGGTGGTGGCGGCGGCACACGCCTTTACTCCCAGCCCTCGGGAGGCAGGGGCAGGTGGATCTCTATGAATTCAAGACCAGCCTAGTCTACAAGAGCTAGTTCCAGCTCAGGCTCCAAAGCCACAGAGAAACCCTCTCTCAAAAAACAAAAACAAAACAAACAAACAACAAAAAGACTAGAAATCTTTTTTTAAAAAAGAGAGGGTAGAGATCTTCTAAGAATTAGTTCTTGATGTTCAAAGAATTCTGAAACATAGGGTTTTTGCATAAGAATGAAGGTCCGTGGATGGTTAGCTTGTGACATTTACCTCCCAAGTTAGATCTGATGTTAACCCCTGGGTAGTAATAACATGGGTTTGTAAGATCTCCCTCCTCCCCCACCCCCCCCCAAAGCTCAGGCCTCCAGAATCTCAGCCCAGGACCTCGGTCACCCCAATCACTATGCAGAGGCAAAAGCTTGATGCAAACTGCATGAGGCTTTATTATAGTTGTTTAACAAGCTAACCCCATGTTAGCTGGGTTCTTTCATCCCCCCGCCATGGCGGATGGCTAGGAAAGACAGTTCAAAGAGTCTGCATAGAGATCTTATAGGGCAGCGTAAGGGGAGTGTCTGGGGGTATCCACAGGCTCAGGATTGGTGTGCCTCCAGGCTTGGAGGGCTTCCCTGTGTTGATTGGTCAACTGGTTGTTATGGCCCATAGGCCCTCCCAGGGTGATTGCTATGCTCTGTACATCATTGTTGTGCACTTGTCCTTAAAGCACACCCAGATCCATAAAGCATAGCACCACCAGCTAACTTCTGATTGGTTCCTTGCCACGAGGCAGGCATCTGACTTTCTAGTGACTAGGACAAGGTCAGGAAAGCACATGTTCGGCTGTTATGGCTGCCGAAAGGGGCAGGCATCTGACCTTAGTGACTAAGACAAGGTCAGACAAGCATGTGTTTGGCTGTTATGGCAGCCGAAATGGGGAGCTGGTCCCTTCAGGTTAAAAATTAAATTATCTCCTTCAGGGAGGCTGGTTCATAATATGAAACTCGTTTGTGACTGAAGATTATAGGAAATATGCTAGTTGGATCCTAATTCACTTTTTCCCTGTTCTGTTTTCTTTGTGGCACTAGCCAAAAAAGAAGAACATGTCTGCCTACCAGGTGTTCTGTAAAGAGTATCGGGTAACCATTGTGGCTGACCATCCAGGTATAGGTAAGAACCTTTCTGAGCTTTGGGTTTTGTTTTGGTTTTTTTGTTTTTACTTTGTACTCTCTGTAGCAGTGCATTTAATTAATTGGATTGCCAAGCAGCTTCCCCTATAGCATTAGAATACAAATTGAAACCAGCTTGGTTTCAGTTCATGCCTGCCTGAACTAAAGAGTGGAGCCCCTGCTACAGAGTTAAGCCCCTGTCTCAAACAGAAGACAAATTATAATTCCTCAGTTATGCAAATCCTTTATTTCACCCTGCCTTTTAAAAATTTTTCCAGAGATTGATGATGTCGGGTATTTTCATCAATTGATTCCACCTCAATTTTACGTATTTTTGTTTGTTGTTTTCTGTTATGTAGCTCTGGCTGTCCTGGAACTCCAGGCTGTCCTCAACTCACAGAGCCCCTTGCCTTTCCCTCTCTGGGATTAAAGGTGTGTGCCACCATGTCTGCTCCACCATATTTATTTATTTTTTATTTTTAATGTATGAGTGCTCTGTCTGCATGTATACCAGCATGCCAGAAGAGGGCGTCAGATCCCATGATGGTTGTGAGCTACTATGTGGTTGCTGGGAATTAAACTCAGGACATCTGAAGAGCAGACAGTGCTCTTAACCACTGAGCATCTCTCCGGCCCCTTTTTATTGACATTTATGTGTTATTTTGTGTGTGTACATGTGTGTATGCATGCCAATGGAAATCAGAGGACAACTGTAGGAGTCAGTTCTCTACCATGTGTATCTCAATGATCACACTTAGGTTCATCAAGCTTAGTGGTGAGTGCCTTTATTCTGTTGGTCTTGTCTTATCTTTTTGAGGCAGGGTCTCTCATTTAACCTCATCTGTTCTGCTAGGCCATATAGGCTAGTGAGCTCCAGGTTTCTTGTGTTTCTGCAGTGCTGAAAATGTAGATGTGCAGTGCTACACCTGGCTTTTAGAGAGTTTGGGGGAATGTGAATTCAGGTCCTCATGGTTGTCTGGCAGTCACACTACCCATAGAGCCATCATCCCAGTGTGTATTTCTTAACCAATAAAAAAGGAAAGTATGCTGGGCAGTGTTATCCCACACCCTTAATCTCAGTGTTCTGGAGGCAGATCTCTGAGTTTGAGGCCAGCCTGATCTACAGAGCAAGTTCCAGAACAGCCAGAGCTGTGCAATGAAACCCTGGGGAGGGAGGGAGAGGAAGGAAGGAAAAGAAGGAAGGATTAAACAGATATAGGAGCCAGGCCCATGCCTGTAATCTCTGGATTGGGGGAGGGGGTGGGGCCAAACAGAAAGATCGCAGGTTTCAGACCTACCTGGGCAATAGAGCAAGATCTTGTCTCAAAAGAAACAAACAACAGCAACAAAACACCCAATGCATCGATGCACATAAATATGTAAAATGTGTATCTTATTTCCAAGATCGTAGCCTTGAGCTCCCTTGCTTGTGTTTTGTAGTGTTGGTGCTGCTGTCTCTGTGTTGGCACTTAGTGCATTGAGCAGACACTACCCTGACCTTACACGGGTCACATTATATCTCTGTCTCATTGAGCTATGTATAAAGTGGTTGTCCACGCCACAAAGGTGCTATGAGAAAGTAGACATTGCCGGGGATGGTGGCACTTGGGAGACAGAGGCAGGAAGATCTCTGAGTTAGAGGCCACGCTTGGTTTACAGAGTGAGTTCCAGGAGAGCTAGGGAAACCCTGTCTTGGAGAAAAAAAGAAAAAGATCTCTTCCACTAAACAAACCCTTTTCCAAGTTTCTGCTTTGCCAGTCTTCTGTTTTCTTACAGTGCTGTTTTTTTGTTTGTTTGTTTGTTTTTACTTTTATATTAGATTTTGGGGAACTTAGTAAAAAATTGGCTGAAGTATGGAAGCAGTTGCCAGAAAAAGACAAACTGGTAAGTATATTTTCTTACCTAGTTTTCATTGCTGTTTACCTGCCAGCCACATAACCCTGAGAATAGCAAGAAAGGAGGAGTGAGGTGGCCAGTAGGGGGCATGGCCACTACGGGGCCAGGGTATTCTATTCATAAAGAGACTGCCTTTATCCACTGATGCCTTCTTTTCCCCAAAAACCATACTTATGTAAAACAAAAAGAGCTAAGCTTATTAAAATATTTTTAAAAGAAAATTTGAAGTTACAGCACCCAACTGCAAATGTCAGTCAGCTCTGGTCTTGGGACTGAGGACTGTCCATCACTCTCTAGATAAGCAAAGCATGGGGTTCCCTTAGCCACACTCTGGGTCTCCGGCCTCATTAGCCATTCGCAGCGTGTATTCTCTGAACAAGGAGCTAAGACTTCTGGTGGTTCGTACCTGTAATCTCAGCACTTAGCAGATTTAGGCATGAAGGTTGTGGATTCAAGGCCAGCTTGGGCTATATAACAAATCTGTCTCAAAAAAAAAAAAAGGAAAGCAGAGGAGCCAGTAAGACAGTGATCCCTCTGAATTTGGTACAAAGGTAGTGTAGGAACAAGAATTGCCATTCTTACTTTGAAGAGTGGTTTTGTTGTTGGTTTTGTTTTTTTTTTTTTTTGTTTTTTTTTTTTTTTTGTGATACACCCAGATTATTCTTGATAGCTTGCTGTTTTCCACTGCCAGGCAGGTTAGAGAAAATGGTTAGCCACATGGACATACTGAGCCAGATGTTTGCTGTGTGACCTGCATTTAACCTTGGAGTATTCTAACAGTACTTTGACTTGACCTTAGCACTGAAGAATGGATGTTTTTAGTCCTGAAGTTAAGATAGCAGCTTGAAGCCACTTGAATGACCTAAGACCCAAAGTTATTCTTTGTCCTCTCTCCACCTTCTCCCAGCTCTTCCTCCCTTTCTGCTTCCCCTTTTGCCTTTCTTTTTAAGTTCTGTGTGGCTGGTCTGTTGCAGATCTGGAAGCAAAAGGCTCAGTATCTGCAGCATAAACAGAACAAAGCCGAAGCCACAACTGTGAAAAGAAAAGCTTCCAGTACAGAAGGTTCCGGGAAAGTCAGAGGTAGCTCCACTTCTTTCTTGTGCTTTGAACAGATTTTCGCCAGCATCCTGTGAATTCTGCTTCTGTGCTAGGAAGTTGGGAGAGCAAACAGCTTATAACAGAAGTAGGCCTTGATACCTAAATACTGCCAAATATTACAGGCTGCATAAAAGTAGTTCAAATTTAGAAACTGTAAGAAGTCACAGACTTTGCTGTAAAGATCCAGAAAGTAAGCCAGGTAAGGGGCCTTCTGTCTCATGAAATCCAGCAAGGGAGTGGCAAATTCAAAGCTTGCCTAAGAAGCTACTTAGCAAATTGTAGACTAGCCTGGACTACACTAGATCCACAACCGTGGTATGCTATGTGCATTCCCAGTCACATGCATTTTTGTTTGTTTGTTTTTCTTACAATTCTTTATACAACTAGGGGCTGGAGAGATGGCTCAGCAGTTAGGAGCACTAGCTGTTTTTGCAAAGGACTAGGGTTCATGTCCCAGCCTCAACCTTGCTCTTCTGGCCCTCTTCTGGCCTCTGGGCGCTGCACATATGTAGATACACAGACATGCATATTAGGCAAAGTCATAAACATAAAATAAATTAAATTTTAAAAATTGTAAGTAAAACTATTCTTATCTCATGGGTCACACAAAAAGAAGTCAAACTAATTTCAGCACACAAATGTAAGTTAGCTAATGTCTGATACAGTTTTTTAAGAGGGAAAATTGTCATTTTTGTGACATTGAAGGCCATAGGCAAATTTTCATCCCTTTGTTCTCAGCTTCTTCTGTGGGAATACTGTCACCCCAAAAGAAGTCCCCACCAACCACAATGCTTTTGCCAGCCTCACCAGCCAAAGCCCCTGAGACAGAGCCCATTGATGTTGCTGCTCATCTCCAGTTGTTAGGAGAGTCCCTCAGCCTGATTGGACACCGCCTGCAGGAGACAGAGGTAAGCATAGCACTGATTAACAGGATTCTTGTTTATAATCTTATACCATTTAGATCCATTTTTTTTTCACTTATTGAACAACTACTTAATGCAAAATTATGCCAGGTACCCATGGTGTAGTGAAAAGATGTCTAGGGATTCGGAGTCTGCCTACTGGCCATCAGAGTTTATTCCATTATACCATCCTGTAGAAGCAGTGGCACTAAGAGAAGTCAAGATATGCTGTAGCTGGGTTTTAGTCTTCAAAAAAGTTCAGTGAAAAAGCTGGAGAGATGTCTTTGGAGTTCAGGGCACTGGCTGCTCTTCCCAAAGACCAGAATTCAGATCCCAGCACCCACAAGTTAGGTGCTCACAACTGCTTGCAGCTCTAGTCCTGGGAACTCTTGACACCCTCTTCTGGCCTCTTTATGCATGCATGTGCACAGACATGCATCTGGGCAAAACACCCATACATACATCTCAAAAGAATGAAAAGAGCTGTGCACTCACCTTTAATATCATGGAGGCAGAGGCAGACAGATCCTGGTGAGTTTCAGGACAGCCAGGGCTACATAGAGAGACCTTGTCTCAAAAACTGAAAACAGGAAAAGAAATGGGGCTGTAATAAGAGTGCAGCTGCTCGTCCAGCAGGCCCAGACTCAATACCCAGCACCCACAGGCAGCTGACAACTGTTGGTCAGTTCCAGGGGAATCCAAACACCTTCTCTAACTATGCACACATGGTTCACAGAATACAGGCAGGCAAGGAGCTTTTACACATAGAAATACAAGTTTTTGTTGTTTTTGATTAAAATTAAAGGGAGAATGTAGACAATAAGTGATGCTCTACTGTGCACTTGAGTTGTTCAGTGCTGTCCTTCTGAAAGTGTTCATTTCTGCCCCTTAGCTAACTCAGTGTGGCAGCTCAGTTCTCAGCTCTGAGACATTTCAATAGTGCAGTCATAATGACTTGTTTTTATGCAAATGTTATATTATCATTCAACAGGATTCAGAAGCTACAGGGTTTGAATCTACATCTGAGTTCTTTGGCTAGTTTCTAAAAATTCAGCAGGTGTTGAAAGAATATGGGCATTCTCATACATACTCAGATATCCCAAAAGGTAAAAGTATTTCCAGAGTAAAATATTCTGTGATCTTTATTGAATTTTCACATTTAAACATTATTATTTTTTCTACAATGTTGGGGTTTTTTGTTTGTTTGTTTTTTATTCCCATTTGTATTTTATTCTCTGGAATAATACATTGTCACACTGATATGTTTTAAACATTTAGAAAAAAAATTCCTTTCTTGCTTCCTTTCTTTATTTGTGAGGTGCTATTTTCAACCAGGATGGCTCCTACTTGCTATGTTGCTGGAGATGATCTGATCCTTCTATCTCCAGTGCTGGGATTGCAAACATGGGCCAGCACACTCAAGTTTGCGTAATACTGAGAGGATGGAGCCCAGGGCCTCCCCTTCCACCCATAAGCCAGATAGATACCCAGAACTGCCTTCCCTTTTTCCTGTGTTTGTTGATTCCAAGTGGACTGTATTTATCTGTTCTATCTTTTAAATATTTTTTTAAATTTATTAATTTATTTTTTATATTCCAATCCAAGTTCCCCCTCCTTCCTCTCCTCATTTCCCCCTACTCCACCATCTGCTACTTGGAGAGGGTAAGGCCTCCCCTAGAAGTCTACTAAGTGTGTCCCATCATCTTGTTGAGGCAGGACCAAGGCAAACACACCCCTCACCCCCGCTGACCCTTGTCTAGGCTGAGCAAGGTATCTCTCCATTCTATCTATCTTAAAGACAAGTTATCTCTCTCTCTCTCTCTCTCTCCCTCCCTTTTTCTCTCCTCTCACACACACACACACACACACACACACACACACACACACACACAGGGTTTCTCTGTGAAACAGTCCTATTCTGGAACTCAATCTGTAGACCAGGCCATAGGTCCGCCTGCCTCTGAGTGAGTGCTGGGATTAAAGGCATGTGCCACCACTGCCGGGTCTGATTCCAAGTTTTTCAATTAGTTGGGAGAGGGGCCTCTGTACATAGCCTTGGAAATCACTACCTAGATCAAACCTGCCTGCAATTCACAGAGTTCCACCTACCTGAGTCTCCTGAATGACGAATCAAAGGTGTACCCTACCACACCCGGTTTCATTTTATTTCTGTAATTCCAGGAAGGTTTTTCTCTCTGTCTGCTTTTAATTTCTTTTTCTGTTATTTTATTTGTAAAATGGTTTTATGCACCATTCATTGTCCAGATTTTCCAATATAATTCCTTTTAGTTTGGCAAATATTTCTTTGGTTTTTTGTTTATTTATTTGTTTGTTTTCTGAGACAGGGTTTCTCTGTATAGTCCTGGCTGTCCTGGAACTCACCTCTAGATCAGGCTGGCCTCAGAGAAATCTGCCTGTCTCTGCTTCTTGAGTGCTGGGATTAAAGGTGTACACCACCACCACCACCACCACCACCACCACCCCCCGGCTGGCAGATGTCTTTTTGTTTTGTTTTTGTTTTTTGTTTTGAGTTCTTATGAGATTATTTACAGACTAGTTGTCTGTTGGCTATCTTAGGATGCTTATGGTCTAATTGGAGAGACCATTTTATGTGATTAACAGTCAGAAGCATGCACACATGTATGAAGAGCTGCTTTGACAGTTTGTGTATACACCATAGGCAACAGACCCCCAGCTGCATGCCCAAACCCACAGGTATCACTTACACCTATGTACGGGAATAGTGATACCACAGTGGTATCTTTATTCCATTCAGCATTGATATGCTGAGTAGAGTTAATTCAAGGTCCACATAGGACAGAGATTGTATCATGTCATTCTAACAGCATATAGGCAGTTTAGAATTGGGAATTGAGGGTGAGTGGTGGGCACACCTGTAACCCCACAAATGGATGCAGTACATACCATAACACTGTCTGCAAAAGAAATAATAATAAACCCCTCCCACCTGACCAAGAACCCTGAGTAATAACTACAACCAGGGGAAAGGGGAACTGCAGATAATGGGTGGTTACCGTAACCAGAAAGAGTTTACAGATTCTCTTATCCACTTTTTGTAACAGCCTTAATATGATTCACATCCCAAAAGTTAACCTATTTTACAGTGTAATATTTAGTGGTAATACTCTTCAGAGTTTTGGGCCCATCACTGTCTCTAAAACATTTTCATTACCCCAGAAAGAAACTCAAAGCCCATTAGCAATCATTCCTCATTCTCTGTCTAGGCTGTGGTTTCCCAAAGGTGTGTGCATGTGAGTGTGAGCGAGGTACAAGTGTGCAACGTCCATGGAGGCCAAAGAGGGTTCCACTCCCCAAAGCTGGAGTTACAAGTGATTGTGAGCTACCATTTGTGTGCAGGGAATAAACCCAGGGATAAGAGCAGCCTGTGCTCTTATCTCCTGAACCATCTCTCCAGTCCCTGATTTTTACCTAATGAATATCGTAGTGGATTTGTAACTATTAAAGGTAAAGTTCATATATATATGCCATCTGAAATTGCATACCACACTTTGAGGAACATTGATTTACATAGTTCATTAATGTAGACATTGAATACCTGAACCTCTTCACAAATTTATACAACTATTAGTACTTAAAATAGAGCCCAGCTGGCCTTTCCCTCATGTTGCTCTCCTGTACTATTGTGAGCAGTTACAAGACTGTCAAAGAACAGTGTCACCTGGACATGATTGTGTATAGGACTATAGTTCTACTGCTAGAGCATGAGTCAGGAAGATTGCTATCAGTTTCAAAAAAGTGAGTTCTAGAGGCCTAGAGAGATGGCTTAGTGGTTAAGAGCACTGAAGAGCTCTTCCAGAGGACCAGGGTTCAATTCCCAGCACCCACATGGCAGCTCACAACTTTCTGTAACTCTAAGATCTGACACTCTCACGCAGACATACATGTAAGCAAAATACCAATATACATAAAATAAAAATAAAAAATAATTTTTAAAAAGTGAGTTCTAGACCAGCCTGAACTGACAAGTGAGACCCTGTCTCAAAAGAAGAGGCAGAAGAAGCGGTGTACCGGGTCATGGGAGTCAAAAGCCTGGTAAAAGGGAGTGAAATGAGGTGGGTAACTTGAGAGACATTGTGAACAGAATGCAGGTGCCTGCTCCTCCCCTGTGGGGCCTTTTGCAGAGGAAGATGGAAGAAGGTCCTTTGAGGCTTTAGGCTCCAGCCCTACTTTAAACTTTGGAAGAGTCTTCCTATTAAACTGTTAAGTTGGAAGAGAAGGCAGGCATCCAAGCCAGATGTCTTGGTGGACACTGAAATATTTGTAGTTTTCTGTTCTGGGACTGCAGAGGGGTTTTGAGTAGTTTTGTTGTTTTGTTTGTATGTTTGTTTTTGGTTTTGGCTTTTTTTAGGGGGAGGTAGTGGTTGTGGTGGTGGTGATTAGAGTTCCTACTTGGCCTTCTGAGAAAATCTATTTTAGATTGTGAGTGAAGAGACCAACACTGAGAAGGTACAGTTGCAATGTAGTGTAGCAGTGAGAGAAACTTAGCAAATAGTTATTGACATTTTGCTTGATGGCATGAGATGAATTCCAGTAGCCTGTGGGCCCAGCCTTTCAGACCCTCTGCTGGGCACCCACAGTGCCTCTTGTTACTATGTTTCCTTAAGGAGACCTGACAACCAGGAGAAAGTAGAGTAGAAAGCAACTGCAGGTGTGATTCAGTGACTGTCGGCTTTTCTTGCAGGGCATGGTAGCAGTGTCCGGCAGCTTGTCAGTGCTCCTGGATTCCATTATCTGTGCTCTTGGCCCTTTGGCATGCCTGACCACACAACTACCTGAATTGAATGGCTGTCCCAAACAGGTCTTGGTGAGTTTTGTTTTCCTTAACTTTTTAGGGCTGTGGCCTTTGGGAGCCAGAAAGCCTCCTTAATGAGCACACTAAGCACTGCTCCTGGGGCTTGGTGGCACATGGCACTTCTATCACATATTGTCCCACAGAACATGACACTGTATTATCAACTGCATGCTGTGGTTTCAGTGAACTAGAAAAAATGCCATTTCCATGACTACTTTGGAGAAAAGCAGTGTAGTCTAGAACTTAAGGGTCTGTAACTCAGAGGCAGCAGAGGGACTTCTTCCTGCTGCTGGCTGTAATGTGAGGCATGAGCAGAGAAGCTCCTGGCCTAGCTGACAGGAGCATGCCTGTGTCTCTAGCCCACTTTCCCATCTCTCGCTTGAACATGACATTTCTCAGGGACCACAGTGAGGCATGCCACAGTTGAGCCCTTTCTCCTTGTTTGCAGTCAAACACGCTGGACAACATTGCTTACATCATGCCTGGACTGTGACCTCCAAGAAGCCTGGGACAGAAACCTGTCTACCCCTTCGCTAGTTTATGTATATATGACTGTTCCAGATCCTCCACTGATCTCTGGGTGTAGGTTTTTAATTTTTGTATCTATCTATACATATATATAATGTACAGTATATACATAGGATTATAACTACTTTGCTTTTAATAATTTTATGAAATGGCAAGGGTTTAGCTGAAAAGGAAACTTTGGCATGAATGTGGGTTTGGGATTATTTTTTTGTGTGAAAAAAAATCTGCCTTAAAAAATCAGTGTAATTTGGGGACTAGGGGCTTATTCTGGGTGCCATGTGTATCTCGTTATAGACAGCTAAAATGTGATTTTTTTTCCCCCAAGCTTGGTTGTACCTCCAGACCCATCACTGACCATTTGCCTTACCTGTCTTATAATTGGAAATATAGTAAAGATTATGGGAGGAGACCAGCTGACTACAAACTATTTGACTCAAAGTGACCTGAGGGGAGGTAGAGATGGCTTAGGCGGACTAATAGGGGACTCATTCCATTTCTACTAAACAGGTATCTGTGTCTCCAATTTTATTGTAACCATTGTTACCACAGAGTCATTGATACCACTGATAGCCTTAGTTATGTGATTCTTGGCAGCAGAGAAATAGCTTGGAGAGGCCAAAGCTGTTGGTGCCACCTTTGAGCCTACATTGGCTGGCCAAGAAGGCTTGGTCTATAAAAACCAAAGCTGGTATCTTTTGTTTTGTTGGTTGGCCACCAAATCCTGAGAGATTCTGCAGCTTCTTAGTTCAGCTCTGGTTCCCCTGATGGGCAGATTGTGCTCTGCATTCCTCACACATGTGGATCACAAAGGAACCCTCGGTTCTCAATGGGGTTATCTATGTGTGTATGTGAGCATATATTTTAATTATGTGTATTTAACTCTTTAGAATTTTTAGATTTTAATTTATCCTGTAAATTTCTGTATATATAATTTAATAACAAGCCTCCACCAGCAGTAGCATGTGGAGCATACAGACTTGTCATTTCTTCGTGTCTGTCTAAAAGCTCCAGGTCATCCATATGTTAAGGTGTTATGACTCAGAAAGGAGCTTCATGGCCCTCAATAATGTTAGCAAAGTGAAGTAGAAAGAAATGTCACAATTCCCAACTGCCCTTATTCCCAAAGACCTGCTTCCCCATTAAAAGATAGTTGAGCACTCCAGAGTTGTTTGGAAGCTTGGTGTGAGATTCCCTTCCCTGCCAAAACCATGCTGAGGTAACCATGCTTTCTCCCTCTGGCCTAAATGGGACAAGGCAGCATCACAGTAAGCTTTGGGGACCATGTAGTCAGCTGCCATCCTGTTTAATTCCTTCCCATATAGCCTCACTGTGTTTCATAGCTTAGCGCCTCACAGGCGTTCTGGACATCCAGTCTTTCTCAGTTCAGAGCAGTGTTGAGATGTATTCTGGGAAATGGAGAAAGAAACAGGAATATGTGGGAACTGAATCAAGAAGAACCAAAATTTAAATTTCAGCTAACAGGTCAGAATCTCATTTGAACCTGCAGAAGTTTCCTTTAAGAAACAGGGTGTGAAGGAGAGGCCAAGAAGGCACACATAGTGCAGGAAGCAGCCAGTCCTCTGTTGTCATTGCTACAGACAGCAGTGAACTCCTGGTGATAACCGGCTTTTTCGTGTTCATTTTCCTCTGAAACCTAGCCCTGTTGTATTTGTATTAAAGATTTGTACACATTTGTATAATAATCTGTAACTTGTGGTATTTGGTACTATTAGAAGAAAAACTTTGGATTCAGGCCTTCTTGCTGTTTTTATATCATTGTTTTATTTTGTTTTTTAAATAAATCCTAGTGGTTTGATCCAAATCTTACAGTTGTATAAAAAACAAAATTTTGTACTTATATTAAAGATCTCATTTTTAATATTTGTGGTAGCCTTAGCTGTCTTTTCCCTTGGGTTACTCATAGTTGCTATAAAATTATAAAACTGTTATTCACTCTGTTCTACTCTTAATTTTTCGATAAAAGAGGTCAGGAGCTGAAGAGATGGTTCAGTGGTTAAGAATACTGCCTGCTCTTGCAGAGGACCCAAGCTAAAGCCCAGCTCCAGAGGATCAGGCACCCTCTCGAGCCTCCTTAGGCATCAGCACACAAATACATACACACACACAGATACACACACATACACATAATTTATATTTAAAAAGTTTTAAGCCAAAACCTGGAATAAAGGTCAAGTTTTCATATTCTTACCCATCCTGGGTCTCAGGCTCCCAAGTATCATTTGCATATTGTAAAACTAGAGAACCTGATAAATTGTGGCTCTAATGCTTGGCCAGTGAAACCCTATACATTATGGTATTGGCTTAAATCAAGTATCCATCAGTATTTTGTCAGGGTTGCATGAAAATCCTGTGCTGAAAATATATAGTCCATGTCCCAGGAGCTTCCAGAGTCTTGTCTGAAGGGGAAAAAAAAAAAGACTCGCTGTCTCTGAGTCTATAGCCAGCTGGCCCAAAGTGAATGTTTGGTAATATTATGAACATTAAATATGTGGAAATTTGACCTTTCATGATTTAAAAAAAGTTAATAGAATACAACATGTTAAAAAGTATAAGTAGTGGGGGCTGGGGACCATTGGCTGTTCTTCCAGAGGTCTTGAGTTCAATTTTCAGCAACCACATGGTGACTCACAACCATCTGTCAAGATCTGGTGCCCTCTTCTGGCTTGCAGTCAGAACGCTGTATACATAATAAATAAATCTTTAAAAAAATTTAAGTAACAAAATAAAACTGGTGTTAAAGGCTGGGTTTTAATGATCACGACTGTAATTCCAACACTCAGGAGATCTGAATTTGAGACTAGCCTAGGGAGAGTATATATTAAAAAAAAAAAAAAAAAGGCTGCAGAGTATGAGGAGTGAGATGGTTCACAGGTACTAGCTGCCATGTTTAGTCTGTGAGACCTACATAATGAGGATTGCTGCATGTTGTGATTTTTGACCTCTGTATTCACCATGACACACACACACTAAAGAGAATTAAAACATGTCTTATAAGGATAAGTCAAAGAAGAAATCACCGTCATTGAATGCCCATTACTGAACAATTTGCATGTCATCTTAATACTCTCAAAGCGTTATGGATAGTGTCCCCCTTTACCACTGAGGGAAACAGATGCAGAAAAAGCACTGTCCCCATTTGCCAAGTAGAACTGCCCTGGACATAGATGGAGTTCATTCGCTGCCTTAAGAGAGCACAAGTCCAGACCCTTGCCTCCTCTGGGCTACCCACAGGTGGCTCGTGGAGCAGGGAGACATCAAAAAGTCAAGGAGGCTGTTACTCTCAGGGCTACGTCCCCAGGACTAAAGGCTAAGACCCTGCTACCAGCCTGGGCTTGAGTTTGTGTAACTTGATCCAAGTCTTTCCCTGGCCAGAGACCCAGTTTCCGGATGTGAAGACTTCTAGGCCCCGCCGCAGAGTGAACTGAGGCCTTTCAGGGGCGTGGCCTGGAGGGCGGGGCCTCGGGGCTGTGCTCCAGAGCCGCCGCCCCGCGGGCCGGCCAGCGGGTCACGTGACGGGGCGGCGGCGCCGGCGGTTGCTGTCACCTGATTCTGGGAGCTGGTGGCAGCGGTAGCTGCGGCAATGGACTTTCTCCTGGGAAACCCGTTCAGCTCTCCGGTGGGACAACGCATCGGTGAGTCCCGGGAGCCGCGCGCAGCCGCGCCCCTGTCTAGCTCTGGCCGGGGACCTGTCGGAGTCCTTGGAGGAGGGAGGCAGACGGCGAGGCTGGCGCGGCGCTCTTGGCTCCGCCCCACCTGTGTTTCACCTGATTGACAAGATTGCGGACCAGTCAGAAGCCTCGTGTGGGGATTGATGCTGAGGGTGACCAATAGGCAGGGAGAGGAGGCGGATGTGGCTCAGCCAATGCGCGCGTGCTGGGGTCCGGAGTAGAAGGAGAAAGTTTAGGTTAAAGGGACTGCTGTGGTGAGCCGGTGTGGGGCCCCGCCGCCGCCAGGCTCGGGCAGGCCGAAGGTCCCTCCCGGGTTGGCCGCGCTCAGGTCATTCGCCGCGTCACCGGCCCCTCACATTCCGGGACTCCTGAGGTGTCTGGGCTCGGCCACGCCTCTGTCCCCGCTGTCGGGAGACTCGGGTTTGTGTGACGTCGCCTCGACCGTAGTTAAGGGACGGTGGCCCGGCCTTCCTGGGGTTGTTTGATCATTACATGCATTATTAAGCGCAAGGCACTGAGGATGCTGCCTGACACATGGCTAATGCTTGTCATTGTCACTGTGGTACCACCTTGTGGGGCTGGAGCCCGTGGGAAAGTGCCGGTTCCCAGTACCTACTCAGGTGGCGACATTTCTCCAGGGATGGGTGGTCTGGGTGTGACCCCTCTTCTTGTCTGAAGGGTCCCGACAGCATTGTGTAATTCTTTTTGGTGGCTTTTCTCCTTGGATCCAGACTGAACAGGCTGGATCTTTTAGTTAAGGCATTCTTTGCATTCTTCCTGCCAAGGCTTCCCCGAAGTCGTTAGCCCAGCTTTGTGTTGTAACCGCCACTGCTGTAAGTTTGGAGGTTCTCATCAGTTCTCTGCAGGGCATTGCTAGTGCCTGAAACCCAGGTGCTTCGCAAAAGCCCCATCTTTGAGTCCTCGTTTGTGACCTGGAAAGAGAAGACAACCCTCTTCACAAACTTCCTATGTAAAAACAAGCTAATTATTCCATTCTTCAAAGCCAACCACAAAGTCCTGAGACTTTCTGGATGTGCTTATTTAGGCTCAGTGTGCATATCAGTTGTTCAGAACTCAACACCTCTTCCTACCCTGAAAGGTTGCCTTCCTTGGGCAAGAAATACTTCTGGACAGACAGAATGGTGCTATATCAATACCTCAGTGCTAACTACATCTCACAACTGGACCCTCTGCCTTTTTTATGTCAGAATTGGCTGGACCCATCAGATTCAGACTGGCATCTGTGGAGTTCCCAGTAATGCTCTTTGCAATTGGCTAGGAGACCACAAATTTTACAGGTGTGAGCCACCAGAAGCGGTGGCTCACACCTGTAATCCTAGCACTTGGTAGACTAAGACAGGAGGATTGCCACCAAGTCTCAGGCTACCTGGACTACAAAATGAGTTTCAGGGCAGCATGGAGCTGCAGAATAAGACCCTGATTCAAAACAAAAAATACCAGTCTGCAAAGTCCTGTTACTGAAGGGAGGGGATTGAGTTCTACAAAGGGAAGGTGGTGAAGACTGAGACTCACCCAAAAACCCAGTGAATTGATAGCACAACTGAAATGAGCCTTCCAGGGCTACTAAAGAGGCTGTAAAAGAGCCCAGTGTGGTGGAGCATGCCTATAATTCCAGCCCTCAGGAGGCTGAAGTGGGACTATTTTCAGTTCAAGTCCAGCCTGGACTACATAGAGAGCCCTACCTTGAACAATATCAGTGTTCCATAGTCTTCCATGTATAGAGAGACAGAAGTACTGGAGATTGAAAGGGGTATGTATCTGTCTGTCTGAGATAGAGTCTCAGTTGTTGCCCAGGTTGGCCTGGAACTTATGGACCCAAGCAGTCCTCCCTGATCAGCTTCCAAGTATCAGAGACCTTGTCCCTATGCCAATGGGCCTGGCTGGCTGTGATGATCGATGGCCAGGTTTTAGGTGCTTGCATTCCTGTAATTCAGACCCTCCCCCCTCCCTTTGCTACAGGAGTAAAATGGTGTCTTCTCAGGTCTGGCTTCATGCCCTGAGAGTAGAATCTTGTATGATTGGCATACTAGAGAACAGCAATCACTAAATGGTGCTAATCAGGGCCCAGTGTCACTGTCCTCACAATTCATATACACCTGATGCTTGCTGGTCTCACTGCCTACAATGTCTGCTTCTGGGAGGAGCTGGGCTCATCCCTTAGAGCACTGGGCACCATCACCTCTTCCCTGCGGCCTTTCCTAACTCCAGCTCCAATTGCTGCTCTTTTGTTCTCTTGTCACTCTGCTTCCAGTAGGCACAAAACAGCTCTCACCTCAAGGGAAATCAGAGATAGTTTATCCCTGAGCCAAATATGAATTGCTGTGACCCAGGAACACAGATTCCTATCACCCCAAATAACATGATCCAGTATGGGAAATGGTTTCATGATGTTTTCGTAGCTACAGAAAACAAAAGTAAGCCAGAAATCAGGCAATTGGGATACAGCAAAGCACGAATATCTATGCTGCACTTCTCAGGTGCTAGCTGATGGCATTCCTAGCCCTTGGGTTGGTGGACACTAGTTTTCTATTAACTTATTCCAAAAGTGTTGCCTGATAGTCACAGACTTGTTAGATCACAACTCGGAGATGAGCAATACATGCTTAATAAAGGGTCTAAAGCAAGGTCATTTGTCTCAAGATCTGCAACATTTCCACTCTCCACAATCACAAAGTTGTTGTCAGTCAGCCTTCTAACATCTTCAACACAGAAGTAGCTTTTCTGAGAACTTCAGTTTGTATGCTTCGACTCTTCTGCTTGAGAGTGGTTGTAAAAAATGCCAATTCCCCGGAGAGTGCCTGCACAGCGAGAGGGTGTAGGGAATAGGGAACACCAGCGCCTGCTATCTCACCATCATTTACTGTTTCCACCTCCGTCACACAGATGTGCCACCATCCCTGCAAGTCTGCCCTCAGGCTAGGCTTGACTTGAGATCAGGAGCTATCCCTTCCTTTCCTGGTGCCTTAGCACCTAGCAGATTGTGAAAAAAGAAAAAAAGAAGGATGTAGCTGCTCCTAGGTGTGGTGGAGGAGAAAGTTTTTTATAGACTAAAGGGAGAACATAGTGAGTGAGCCATACCATGTGAGGAAATGGGGAGGGAAGAGGACCGAGGAGAGGACACACACACACACACACACACACACACACACACACACACACACACACACATACACACACACACCAGAGGGTAGAGCTGTCCTTGGATTCCCAAAGCCTACCCATAGGCCCATGGACAGAAATCAGAAATGAATGGCCAGCATCAGGGCTCTGAGGTTCCTTTGGGGAAGATAGGCTAGAAACACACAGGCTAGGCCATGTTGTAGATGTTGGGCAGTCACTGTCTACTGCTGACTATCTTCTATCCCCATCTGTAATGAAACACAGAGGTGCCCCACTTCCTCCCTTCCCCAAAGACAGTTGAACAGCAGCTGAAACGTAATTGAAATGGGGAACAGTTCGTACTACAAGGCACAGAGGGGCAGTGTGGTGTTACAAAGTCAGTGCTGGGCTAAGCAGCCAACTCTGGACCTGTCAGAGGTGTGCCAGTTACCTTGTTCATAATGAGATCCCCTGCTACCTCTTGATGAAAGGTAAAGGTCAAAGGAGAAGTTGCCTTGGAGGACTCTTGCATTGGCTGTTAGGGTGGACTAGAGCAGGCTTACTCTGCAAAGGGCCACAAAGTCAGTCCTCAAGGCTTAGGAAGGCCATATGGTCTCTGTTAAATACTTCAACAAGGCCATTATTGCATAAGAGCAGCCAGAGACAATAGGTAAATACATGGGTGTGGCCATGCTCCAATAAAACTGTGGGCTGTAGAATTTGAGTTTATGTCATTTCCATGTGCCATTAAGTATTATTGTTGTCGGTGTGGTGTTGCATGCCTTTCATGCCGCACTCAGGAGGCAGAGGCAGACAAATCTCTGTGCGGTCCAGGCCAGCCTGTTCCATGGAGTGAGACTTAGTCTACATAGGGCTATGCCCTGGCTGGACAAATACTAGTAAAAGGCCAAGGTGACCTTGAATCAAAATACTAGCTCTGTGTCCTGGAGTAGGTTATTAACCTCACTATCTTCTGGTCCTTCATCTGTATAAGGAGGCTAATAATAGCACCTGTCAGGTGGGATTGCTGTGTCATGTGTGGCATTTGAAGCACTTGGACTGGTGCCTGCCAGGCAAGAGGAGTCCACAGCTGGGGACTCTCATTGGTGGTATCACTGTTCTGGGCATACTTGGTGACGGAGCTAAGGTAACAATGCAGGGCCCAGACTCCAGGGCGGCTTTTGTGTTAGTCCTTGTGTCCCTGTGATGTGAACAGTCACTGGCTGGGTGGCTGGGCGGCAGGGCATTCACAGCAGGTCAGGTTTCAGGCTGTAGGATGGAGCCAGCTCTCCTGGGGATAAAGCTCAGCCTGACTGTGTGGACTGAGCTGGTGAATAGGTTTTGTTCCTACATGGAGCTCTGAGAAATAAGAGTAAAGTTCTACATTTCTGCTCTTAAGGGGTGATGCTTGAGCAGCTAAACTAAAGTCCTCAATATAGAACTATCTTGGGGCTGTCACTTCAGAAGGAGGCTGGGGATTCAGGACACGTTAACGCTTACCCTCTGATGAAGGGAGGTCCAGTGCTCTCAACTGCCACATTCATCTACCACCTTTTAGTCTTTTGTATCTGCATGCCTCCTTTATTATTATTTTCATGATGTTTTCCTGTAATTGGCTCACTCACTCATTTAGCCCTATCCTTCACATTTATGTCCATGAAGTTATGACAGCAGCCACCTTTACTCACTGAGCCATCTCACCAGCCTGGTGAAGGTAAATTTTCAATGAGATTAATAATGAAATAATAGACCATGACAGGCACAGACTACCCTCTACAGTGTGGATGATCCTTACCCAATCAGTTGAAGACTTTCCTGGAAAAACTGACATCCCCAGAGCAAGG